ATAAGTAATTACTTTCAAAGTCCAGTCATTTGAAAGCACAGCAGTCTTTTAACAAAGTAGCTCTTCTCAAAAAGGAAAAGGGACTTTCCCACTAGTATTTCTGAACTAGCACACATGCCCAATAATTTTGCTGTGTTTATGTGTCACTCTGACTTTCTGTCTGTCATTGTAAAAGAAGATATGCTTTGTGTTAAATGATGCCTTTCTGAAGGGAGTTTTCAGGTAGTACCTCCTAAAGGCTTTCCAGTTCTTTTCCCACGCCAAGGTTTGCCTGCTGTTTTCCCCAGTTTAATATCAGACTCTTGCATCTCATTATTTTGCCATCTAATTAGCCCCACTTCCATCTTGTGTAAGTTAAACATCCAAATAAAGGGAGGAAATATTGGGGTCAGGCAGTGAAACAATGAAATTCTGCAGGACCTTCTCTGACCTGGGAGAAATCATTCCATGACTTGAATTATTAGGCTTCTCATCTTTAAAATTATATAACCACAGATAGGTCTTCAAGTCCCGTTTGAGCACTCAAATATTCTTTCTACCCTGTTGATGAATCAACATTAATAAATAATTTCACATCAGTCACCATTGCCTCAATGCATGTATAATAATGAAAATTTGCTTATTCATTTGTTAAATGCATGTTTATCAAGCTTTGTAGTCAGAGCTGAGTATACGCTGATAAATGAACCAATGCACGCCTTAGCGTTAGTGAGTTCACAGTCCAGAAGGCAAGGCAGACAAAACAAACTTCCAAATAAGTAATAAGTGAATAAATCTTGGGAAAGATATGCACCATGTGCTCTGAGAAAGAATAGTAAGAAAAGTATAAATTAGATGGGAAGGGGAAACATTTTCAAGAAAGCTTCATTGAGAAAACGACAAATGATTCAAAGGATGAAGGGTTACTAGTCAAATGAAGAGTGATTGAAGCAGCATCCTGGACACATGTGGGAGCATGTAGAAAGATCCTGGGGAATTAAAGAGCTTGTGCAGGGACCAGCAGATGGTGTGTGTGATGGTTACATTACGGACTCTGACATAGTCGACTATGGTTCGAGTCCTGGACCAGCAACTCATGCCAGGTGCATGTGCGTGCATGCCCAAAATCCTAAGAGGAGAATAGAAGAGAAGGGTGAATGCTCGCTTTCTGTCTCTTGGTCTCTCTCTGTCCCTCCAGTGAGCTCATGCGCTTTATAGCAAAAATCTCTCTTAAAAAAATAAAATAAAATAAAAACTTGTACATTGAAGGAACTGAAGAAAGTTCACACAACTGAAGACTAGTGCACAAGAGGGGGTTGGCCTGAAATAAAAATAAAAGATATCGGAGACAGTGTGGGGTGGGGAGTGGATAATGGGATAGGAGGGAGGGGAGAGGGGAAAAAACATTTAACAGACACATGAATGAAAAGTTGTCTGTTGATGATAATGTATATAGTAATATCTTTACTTAAATGATATCCACTGCACCCATGCTGGAAAAAAATATATTTTGTACACTGTAAAGATGTACAGTGATTGAGTGTACATTTTAAAAGTATAAAAAAAATTTAAAAGTGAAAGGTGGGCTTCCCTCAAATCGTAGAAAGCTTACCGCCAGCGAACATTTTGTGTATCAGAAATGCAGAGGCAACCTGCTGAAAGGGGTTTAAGCAAAAGACAGAGGGGACTCAATCACATCTTTAAAAGATTGCTCTGGCCACCATACACACACTGGGTTGGAGGAAGGCAGAAACAGATGAAGAAGTGTGGGTGCTAGGACTGGGAAGCAATGGGGGAGAAGAGGTTGGATTTTACATATAATTATGGGATAGACTCACTGGGGGTCTGTTGTCAGCTGTGACATACAATGGAGAATTTATAGCTTCGTGGCTCACACCGTGGACATATTCATTCCTATATCTGCACTCTAAAAAGACTACTTTGTTGGCATCCCACTGCCACCCTGGGCAGCATTCTATATAACCTTCATGTGACGCACAGGTATCGCACACTTTTTTACTCAACCATTCCTTACCTGACAAGTATTTGGAGTATAGGCCTTGTTCACAAAGCCATCCATCCTTTTTTTCCCCCCAGAGATTTCTGCTTTAGGGTGTGTGTCCTTGCTGGAGAGACAGAGACAGTAAGATAGAAAGCAAGAAATCACGCCCCCGGGGGGAGTGGGGGAATGGCCATGCCGCAATCCCTTGCCCTCCATTCTCCTCTTGGGATTTTGGGCACGCACGCACACACGCCCGGAGTGAGTTTTAAGCTACTGGGTCCAGGACTCAAACCATGATTGACTAGGTGGGAACCCAGTGGCATAACCATTACACTATCTGCTGGTCCAGAGCCATCTAATCTTACTAGATTAATAAGTCCACTAGTCACCCATGTGCTCACCTTTAGACTTTCCCAAGTATCTGTATGGCCACAGCCACATGTTCACATTCCCCAGGAGACATAGGCCAAGCTTTTAAAATGGTCTTGGGAGCTGGCCCTGCCATCTGCTGGTTTAGGGAGCCCGTTCCTACCGCAGTTTGAATTCTGGCTCCAGTGGCTTAAAAACTATGCTGAGCATGTAAGGGTGTGCCCCAAATCATGACAGGATGGAAAAATGGAGGAGAAGGGATTGTGGCATGGCCACATCCCACAGGGGGTGCTTTCTCCCTCTCTTTCTTTCTTTCTTTCTTTCTTTCTTTCTTTCTTTCTTTCTT